GGGGGGCGAGCGCTCGCTGGAGACATCAGTGAGGGTCCCGGGGGGGTTCCGGGGGGTCACAGCAGGACAGTCCCGATGGCAGCCCCGATGGCTGACAGGGCAGCCCACACAGCTGTGGGGACTCCTGCTGCACCTGAGGAAGAGGAGCAGAAATCAGCCCAAGCCCCGCAGCCCCAGCACGGGGCCCCCACTGTGCCCCACGGCCTGGGGGAGCACCCCAAGGAGGAGCAGCCCCCCCAGACCTCGCCTCCCTGCTGCCATGGGGCGTCCCCGCAGCCAGGCCAGCGCAGCCAGCGGGGCCGCACCGGGCACCCCAGAGCGGGTGCGACCCTGGGGGTCCCCACTCCCACGGCCACCTCAGGCCCTCGCCACACTGCTGGTACCGCCAAAACATGGGGTGCACTGCAGTGACCCCATGGGTACCCCATGGCACCGCGCTGGGAGCACTCACCGAGCGACTGCGCTATGGCCACCAGGCTCCCGGCAGCCACCCTCCCGCCATTGGCCACGGCAGCTAGAGACATCATTCTGGCGGCCACGGATCCAGCTGCAATTCCTGCTTTGGTGAAGCCCAGAACATACAGGGCTGCTGGCACTGCCATAGTGAGTCCTGCATCGGAAAGCAGCAGCGGTGACGCTCCCGCGGGCACGCGCGTGTCCCCAGGTGGCAAAACCCTCAGCCCCAGGTCGCTGCTCAGACACACGTGTCCCCCAGCCCCGAAACGAGGGGGTGCGTGGAGGCAGAGCTCCGGCTCGCCCGGGCCAGCCTGGAGCAGAGTGGGTGGTGCAGGGTCCTGGGGCCAAACCTCCCCAGCCAGGGCGTCAGTGGGGTCCTGCTCCTGGGCTTCCTGGGACAGGCCAAGGGGCAGCATTTTGGGGAGGGGGCAGCACCCCCTGAGAGGGGTCTGTGCGTGCAGACCAGCAGCATGAAGCCCCAGGAGAGTGATTTATGTCCACATGGCATCACCCATCCCCGTGCCCACCAGTGCCTTACCGAGCCCTATGGCTGCCCCGACGGCAGGGCCGACAAACTCTGTAACAAAGGAGAGAGCGAGGGCGGTCAGTCGGCAGGGCTGAAAGCGAAGGCGAGCTGCTGCCCTCGCTCTGGGCAGCGCTGCAAGGGGCTCCTCCATCCCCTGCCCGCACCCCCGGGCCCCCTCCTGCCCGCTGGAGCAGCGTGTGCCCCTTCCCAGGAGCATCCCGGTGCCTCACACCACTGGGACCACAACTTGTGCCTTCTCCAAAATGCCGGGGAAGCGAGTCCTTGTCGGCACAGCCCTGATGCCCGCTCCGGCCCTGGCCCCGGCCCCATCCCACGAGAGCCCCGTGTCCCTGAACCCCCCCCCCATGCCTTCGCTTAAAAGCAGAGGGAGGTTTTCCACGCGCCCAGGGGCCGGTGCCCCGTGTCCCCCGCGCTGTCCCGCTGCGGGGCCCATGCCCCTCACCCCGTGAGCTTACCCATGGTGGTCTGGCCTGGGGAGCAGCCGCTGGAGTGAGAGGTGAGCCGGGTCTGGGCTGAGCCTGCTCCTTCAGGGAGCAAGAACAAGAGTTTCTTCCTAGGGCGGTGTGGGCGGTGAGCGGGGCCGGTGGGGGCCCGCAGCCACCCCTCTCCCACGCCATCCTGCCCCCCAAGAGCCCCTGGCCACCCCACAAAAGCAGAGAGCCCTAAGACCCCACATTTCTTCCCAGCCCAGGGCTCCCCGGCTGCTCTGCCAGCCCAGCAGGGTGAGCAGCCCCCCACTTTTGTCCCCCCCCCTCAGAAAAGGGGTGCTGTCGCCAAACATCCATCGTGGGGCTGTAACCCCATGCCACCAACCTGTCCGTCTGCCGCCAACCAGAAAGTCAGTGCTGCCGGAGTGAGCCTGCTGCTGATAGTAGGGGCCTCAGATGACGTGAGGACAGCAAATTTCCAGGAAACCGCTGCGCTGGGTTTCGTTTTCCCCGAATTCTTGTTCCATCTCGGTGTTTACTCTTGGTGTGCCCGGCTCTGCTGGCTGCAGGGCGGTGGCTTGCCCGTCCCCAGGGGTCAGACGCTGGGGCTGCTCCCCGCAGGGACCCTTCTCCCCCGACTCCCTCCTGGGAACGCGGGTACAGGAGGGGCCGGGGCTGCGGCGGGGATGATGCGCCGGGTGGGAGGAGGCTCCCCACGCTTGTGCCGTGGCGGCTGGGGCTTTATGGGGCATTTCCCAACAGTTCAGGACTGGTGAAGTTCTGCGGTTTTTGACGAGGACTATGGGCAGTGCGGCGATTGCCATCGGCTGGGGGCGGCGGTGCAGCCCCTCTGGCTGCCTCCCCTCCACCAGGCATCCTCAAAAAACAGCCAAAGCCCCATTTGCAAACCCCCTGTTCCCCACTCCCTGCACTCACTCCTCACCCCGAGCCCTCTCGGGGCAGGACGCAGCCAGCCCACCCAGCGGCAGCCCCTCCGGGCTGGGGCAGCGAGGACGCAGTGGGTGCCGTAGCGCATGCGCCGCTGCAGCTGGTTGAAGGGGACCAAATCCAGTTGCAAGTTGATCTGGTTCCTTTTTACCAGCCCCAGGGACGCACCGTCTCTCCGGAGGCACCGCCTGGGCCGGTGCTGGCGTGGGGGTCCCAGTGCAGGCATGGGGGTCCGGGCGCGGGGGTCCCAGCCCAAAAATACATACTTCTTAACATTCCATAACGCCAGCCGACTCCATATGGGCATATGAAGAAGTATGTAGGGTTGGGAGGGAGAGGCAGGCGGCGTGGGGCTGGGTGCGCAGGGCACGGGGCCGCCCGCCGCTCCCGGCAGCGCCCACCGGCTCCGCGCAGTGGGACCCGGGGAAGAGCCGGGGGGTGGGGCGGACCGGGTCGAGGGAGGGGCGGGGGGGACCACCCCCTGCCCACCCCCAGATCCAGCCTCTGCCCGCGCCCGGCCCCAGGTGCATCCCCAACGCTGGCGCTGCCCGTACAGTGCCGGTGCCCACGGCCATGCCAGAGCAAGGGGACCTGCGTGTCTGGAGAGCAAGACAGTGCCGCGGCCAACATGTGTGGCTGGGACACAGAGCCTCTGCACCGGCCAGAGGTCACTCAGGCTGGCGACGCACCCACCGCCTGGTGTTTTGGCCAGTGGCTGCCCTTCGTGGGCACCTCGGGACGTGGCTGAGGCTCAGCAGTTTGGGCAGTGGGGCACCGTAGGGGGCTGCACCTCCGAGGAGATGGGGCCACGGCCAAGTGCTGTGGCCCATGAGCCTGCAGGGGCCAGCACGGATGGCGGCAGTGAGTGCCTGCATGCGGAGCCGCTTCCACATCGGCCCTGGCTCTTGGCAGGGTCAGGATGCACCAGCTGCACCCCCCTGGCACCCTGCACTGCCCCAGCACCCTGCAGCACCCCAGCACCCCCCAGAACCCTCCTGCACCCCACACCGCCCTGTCCCCCTCCTGCTGCAGCCCATGTGCCAGCACAGCAGTTGCAGCTCGGTGCAGCTGGGGCCAGTGCTGGGGGGGCCACCCACCTCCCGCACCCCCGCCCGCCCTGCCCAGCTCCTTGGCAAGGCCAGGAGAAGGACCCGGCGAGACGGTCACTCCACCCTCCCG